GTGCTAAGGTCTTCACGGTCTGTTGCTGCCCTGTAACAGAAGTCAAATGAGTATTTGTTCAAGGAAATTCACTCATCGTCCCACTTGTGTCAGTAAGTAATGTCTCTACCATCTACTTGTGAGTGATTAAGAACTGCATTTGCAAATGGGAATAATGTTACCATAAATTTGAGTTATACTTCCAATTAAATGTTATTCTCTGAACAGATGAAAAACTTCAGATAATGTCAGTGGTGCTTGCCTTTGCAGATAGGGTAGTGCCTATGGGGAATGTCTGGTGAGTTTTAGTAACTTCTGGAAATACCTATGTGTGTGTGTATGCAGATAGATAGATAGATAGATAGATAGATAGATAGATAGATAGATAGATATGTATTAACCCTTTTCCTTAAAAACTGAGCAAAGTTAAGGCTCTACATCTGGTGAAGGGATGCAATTGCACATTTATCACTGTTTTTTCCCACCCATGAGGAACGTCAGCCAAAATGTGAATGTTACTCTTGAGATTTGTGGAAAGGCTGCAGTATACCCAAAGTATGACTCCTGCTAGGAGCCATCGTGGGAGGGGACAGGGGGAAATATAGCGCATCAGTAATAGGATCAGTCCTTTTCTATACTTGTACCTTAGTTGCAATTGAATTTCTTCATCTGCAAGGAGCATATCTGGCTTTGACTGGAATATGCCTTTTAGGAGAGTAGGGAGATGTGGTGTGTGGGTTTTGTAGAGTGGTGGGGTTATTTTCTTCCAAGGTGAAGGCGAATGTGTTGTCTTTTAGCATGCTTCTTGCAAGGTCTTGGCAGATCATTCCACCTCTTTGCCTCAGAATAGAGAGATTGGGGTTTTTTCCTACTATGCAGTGATTTGAAAGGTGCTTGAACACTTCATAGCAATCCTGAAAATAAGCCTGAAACTGAAAGCAAACTAGCTCTCTAAACATACTAGTTCTTCCAAGATGTTCTGGGAGCTTTCCTTGAAGCAGCTAAAAAAGCTTTCTGAAATTTGTACCTCTGTCAGCTCATACTCCAAGAAGTATGCTTCCAACAAATGACATTTTTCCCCCAGTCTCATCTGTTACACAACTAATGATGTCCCTATGTCTGCAGGATTGTTTCCTGTGATAATCTATAGGCTTCCGCCTCTTTCATTCTTGTGACATAGGTGAGATGAAAGATAACAAACAACAATGTAAGGAAGAGTATCTAGAAAGAGGTGTAATGAACAACTGGGGTCATGAAGGAAAAAGAGTCTTTGCTGCCAGGGGTGGTGGATGCTAGGTGTCTAAATCAAAACTAAGACAACTTTTTCCTGTGTTAGAGTTGAACCTGGAATTTCTGCTTGCCCTCTAAGAGGACCAAGCTAAAAAATGCATTTGAATCCAGCCTAAAGAAAGGCTGTATTCTGGAGGTAGTATTCTGTAGAAAGTGAAACCACATACTTAGTCCTGTGTTCTTCCTATTGCAGTGACCCCAGAGTGTTAGGAGGTCCAATGTGTAAACTGCTCAGTGGTGCAGGACCAGCTGGTGGAGCGTATTGGGCCTGTTCGTCCCTGCACAAGCTGCAGCGGCATGAAGTGCATCATTGGCTTGTTTATCTCTTCACAGGCAGGCTTCGCTCAGCTCCTTGCTTAGGTGGGTCGGTTTTGGGAACCCTGAGGTAGCCAAGGTAAAGCTCTGCATTGCAGTCAAACAGACAGAGCTCATTCACTGTATTCAACTTGCTTGGTGCTTTAACACTGAGATGTTGAATCCTTTGAAATTATGAGGCCATAGTGGAAACTCACTGTGTGCATGAGGACACGAGTGCCTGCTTCTGAGGTCTTTGCAATGAAGTGAACTGCAGCTCTCACTCTCCATATCATTATCCTTCCCTAATATCTTGCTAGAATTTCATAAGTCTTCTCGAGAAACCAGAAACGTAATTTTCAGAAGCCGGTCCTAAGAATATTTTTGATCTTATTTTTCCTTTTGTAGCTGAGCAATAGACTGATACAGGGATATATTTTAAAATCCTTAAAAGAACAGCTGGTTTGCGATGCTTACGTTCCTGAAATATGGACAAGTTTGTGTTGACTGCAGTACTGAAGATGCTAACTTGTGCTGATGCATCTAATATAGTATATAGTGCTCTTGCATCCTGAGGTTAACATAAATAGTGTACGGTGCTTATTTTGTTCAAAAAAATGTCGATAAGCAAAAAGTCAGCACTGCTTTTACCCCCATTCGAACTCCCCAAACAAGAAACTGTATTTTCGAAATGTTTGAAGTGAAAATCATACTAATTTAGCAGAAGCTGATGGCAGTATCGAGGTAGTTAGACGCAGTAGAGGAGAAAAGCCAACAGAGAGATAAGCTTGTGACTTGAACTACAGGCCAGGTATGGAGGGCCACAGTGGTAATGTATTATTCTGTGGTGGTTTGGTTTTTTTTTTCCCTGAACCAAAGTTCAATCGCTGGAATTGATTTCTTGATGGTATAAAGCTGCTTGTTACATTGCCAGCCTAGCAAATACTTAAAGGTCTGTTTTATGTAAAGATTAAATATTAACTTATTTAAAGGAAGGCTTCACTATGTAGTGTAAAATGGTTGATTTGCCATTTGCTGAGTGAATTTAGATGATTAGTAGGATTGCTGTCCATTTATCTGACAATGGGAGTAACAACTGAAGGGATAGAAACAGAAACAACTTGCATGAACTGAGACAGAAGAGAACTGTCCATCTTTTATTACTTATTTCATAAGGATGATAAGACAGGATGAAAATCACAAGCCTTTTAGTGTTGGCTTTTACCTCAAACTGTAGGAGTTTGCCGAAGTAAAATTGTTCTGCGCAGTCTAGTAATTGCGTTCTGACCTAAGGGACCTAGATACGAAAGAGTAAAATTATCTTCCTGGTGCTGTGAAGCTTTAATTAATTTTTATGGAGTTTATTTAGGGATCTGTTTGATGAAGTCTCACAGGTGATAAAATCTTAAGCTTTTTTTTCTGCATGTAAAGACTGTTTATTATTTTGAGTCTTCATCAAATTTGACTCACAATTTTGGTTTGCTGAGAGCAGAAGTGAGGCTACAGGTTATGGAGTGCTTTAACCAGAATTACTTATAAAAAAATTGCTGTAGTTTTATGAATACCTATGTTTTCCCATCCCATTAGAGGATAATTAAGAACTTCTTTATATTTCTTGTCTAGGGAAATACATGTTTGTCCAGCTGTGTGCAAAGGTGTTTACTTAAGATATATGAGGAGCCAAAGACAAAACTTAAAGTACTTCAGTATTTTTTTTGAAGTTGAGCAAACAACCCTATTCACTCACCAAGCTTGTTTTAATTTTCACCTTTTAAATTATTTTTATCTTCTTTTTGTGTTGTTGAAAAAGTTTTCACTGGGGAAATAATGCATTTGTAAAATTTCAAGCAAAAACACTCTAGGATTTGCTTTAATAATGTGACTTGAGCATGTGGTAGAGTAGTACTGAGACTATCATGACACAGCTGGACGTGTTCTTATATTTACATGCATATTTTGCAAGTAATAGTGTGCTTCAGGTTGGTTTCTCTGTATGGATTGTGTCCTTGTTTCAGACAGAAAGCCGAGGGAGGGGGGAGAAGGTGCAAGTATGCATAACTAATGTCAAATAAAGCTGTTCTTTAGGATTGACCTCCTTTAGTTTGAAGCCGACCTGGTTCTAATCTAACTGGTAATTTCTTCCTTCTTCAGGTGGAAGGAACCGGAACCTTTTCCATTAACTTTGTGAAGGCTTCCATGGACAGATGGAGGGTGCTGAGTGGATATTTTAAGGAAAGGGGAGGGAGGGGGGGGAAACGGACGACGACAACTAACCAGAACCACATATCTGAACAAAAAGGGGTCATCTATACATTGAGGTACCACCTCATTATGTCTCTTGTTGTCTATAAAAAGAGGCACAGTTGCATATTGTAGTTGCAGACCCTTTTATTACAGGTATCTGCAGTTAAGTGAGACGCATGCCTCTGTGACCAGAGTAATCCTTCAGAAGGAAGCCTGAAATACATACTGAACCCCTGCAGATTTAAGACTAGTGTACATCAGGAAAAAACTCTTTTGAACTGGCACACAGACTAATGACTGTAGAAATCTCAGAGCTGAGAGAGAAGAGGCTGTGGAATGAGGTGAACTGTAGTAGGCAGGGTGTGCTCTGTTAACCTTTTGCTCATGCTGACGACCAGAAGCTTAAATTTGCTGTATAAGATGAAGAGTCTGGAAAAGATCATTTCCTCATTGAATTCCAGGAATTCAGTGTCTAAAGAAGAGATCCGGGGGGGGGCAGTGATACGAACAGAGCAATCCAATAAGTACAGCAGATCTCTGTCAGCATCTTACCTGAACTGATGAATGAAGTGTGAAGGTTTTGGAGGAGCCCAAGGGCAGGAAGAGTCAGGCAGTAGATTTGAACAATAAAATTGCTGTTGAGATGAAAGGAGATGAGGATGTAGGAGAGAAGGAAGTGGAGACATTTTAATTATGCCTGAAGAATTCAGGTCAGGAGAAAAAAGTCAAAAATAGCATGTGACAGAAAGAGAGAAGTGGTGGGGAAGAAAGAGAGAGGGAAGTAGGTTACATATAACAGTTTCACAGGGACTTCTGTAAGAACTTCTTTTATTTAAATTTTTGCTTTCCTGTGGTACACCTGTTGGTCTAGTTGTTGACTCAGAAAACTCTGCTAGGTTCCTGAAGAGGAACATGCGTAAATTGTGATCTAATTAATGTGTATGTAAAGGAGTGTGCTCTCTTGATTACCACGGGGAACTGGATCTCTTTAGATCTTCCACTGACTTGCCAAGCCTGAAGAGCTGGCAGGAGGAACACTAACTCCAGTTTTACCCCAGAGTGGGGTAGGGAGGCTCTACTAACACCTGAAGTACACTTGGAACAAGTCAGCTATCTCATATGTATCTCACTTCTAGCCAGACATTTAATACGGATTTACTTACCATGAATCTTTTTTTTTTTTTCTCTTCCAGTTACTATTTCTTCAACTGCAGAAAAAGGTAATATTTTCTTTATTTTTTTGAAGATGTGAATAGTTTTGTTGCATGCAAGTCTTAAGGGACTCCTTTACATGTAAGCTCTGTGTAGTGAGTAGATTAATGCTAAGAAACAAGGTAAATATTGTGAGGTTGAGTCTGTTTAGCTTCTGGTACCACAATCTTGTGAAGATGACAAGACCTGTGAGTAATGCAACTATGATTTAGGTTTGAAAATATTTTTAAATGGGTACCTTGTAAGAACATAAAAAGAAGAGAAGGAACTGCAGCAGATCCACAAGTCCATTTTCTGTTTATTCCTGAACACACCCTATGACTTGAATGACTTCTGGAAGAGTAAGAATTGTTGCTCTACTGCTTGCTGTTTTCCAAACCAGGTTACCAAATTCCTCAGAACTGGTTAGAACTGTGCAAAATACAATAATTTCAAAGGTGGCTGCACATTATAATTTTAAATTTCTAGGTCAAGTGGTTAAGACCTTGTTTTGACAAACTTAAATAAAGTTTTTGTATTGGCCTTGGCAAGTATAGGCCACAGTGGGTAGTACTTACAGAGATACAAACTGACCAAAAAAAATCCAGCGTTCTTGCTCTGCCACTTTTAAGTGTTAACAAAAACTAGTCTAAAGGATAATTAGATTTCAGAAGTTCAAAATGCAAGGTTTTTAATTTTTTTTTTCCCTGTAGAAATACAAATTATTGGTGGGATATTTGTTTGGGAGTTCATTTCAGTTTATGGGAGACGTGAGTGGTAGATTAAACATAGATTTGCATTTTGACTGTCCACAGAGGGCTGTCCTCAGAGTGTGAGACCAGTGGTAAGAGGTTCTCATCTCTTAAACATTTTTGCAGAAGAGCATAGAATTTGGAGCTAATCTAGTAGTTTTCTTCTTGGTGGAGAACATCCAGGAGAACACTGTGAAAGGAAGGATCCTTGATAGAATCTGTACTCTTTTATCTTCTGATGAAGAGGTAAAAGAATGGGAAAAACTACAAAATAAAGTGCAAGCCATTCAAGATGGGAGCTGTGTCTTACCCTGGATTTTTACATCACACTGCACAGCTGGGCTTCATCTAGACTTCACAAAATTCTACAGATTGCTACTGTGCTTTACTGTTGACCTGTTCCAGTTTCTTCTGGAAAGGCAAGATCCATGTCTCAGTTAAGGAAGCCTGGCAGAGCACTGATGTTGATGTTGGATAGTCAGGTGTCTGGCTTTCATACAAATGTGGTGCCTAACTGACTGAAGCAAGTGCTCTTAAATCTAGGGAAGAAAAATACTTGATTAATTAATGAGACTTGACAGCATTGCTGGAACATGACTGTTAGGCTTTTAATAGTTGTCACCTGCACATTTCTTGCATCTTCAGTTCTAAAGCGTGCCATAGGCATCCTGTATGCACAAATTTCTTTACCACAGAGGCCAATCTTAAAATGAGATGTGAAATCTTTTTTTTATTTGAAAAGAAAGCTCTCGTAAATTTTGAAAAGTTCTTAAAAGCTAACTCTGAATAGCCAGGAAATAACATCAGAAGAGTCAGAAGGCTAAAGTACCAGTTACATTGCTATGTAAATCGATAATGTTCATCTTAGCAAGTATATTTTGCTCCATATTTCAGTGTACTGTGTTCAAGTCCTTTTATGCTAGCACTTAATTACAACTTTTGGTTAAATTAGTGGCTATTTCTTCACCCCATTAAGGCTAATTGTTTCTTTGTAATTTCATATTCTTGTCTAGATTTGTATCCATAAGGATAGGGGAATAAAGTCAACTCTGAGTCTCTCTTAACAATGTAATATACTTCTGTTATATATTATTACCTTTCTGTAATCCGACTCTCTCTTGGAAGTAGTATTAAGAATGATTCAGAAAATATGTTAAGGGCAAATCTTAGGAGGCCTTAGCATGTTTTAGGAAGATTCTGAGAGCATGTCTTAAAACATTGTCCTCCTGAGGGCATAAATTATGGTCTAATACACATCAGCACCTTTAAGGAGAGGTGACTTCATTTGGTTACAGCATGGCACCAAAAATCCAAGATTCCCTTAGCTTAGCCAGGACTTCCTCATGACTCTGACTAAACTGGCAGATATTGGGGTTTGAGGTTTTTAACATATTTTCTGTCTAGCTTGTCATTACAAGAAAATGAGCTGAATAGAAATGAGTCTCGTTTATATTTGCACTGGAAACTGATGCAAGATGCTTCAGGGAGTACTCTGCAGAGGAGCTACTGCTACCCAAAATGGTGTGTACATGAACTGCCAAAGCAAAGTCATCAAAAATGGTATCTTCCCTCCCTCTCATTTCTTGGGGAGCACTGACAGGACAGATTCTGTAATCGCAGTAGGAATGGCAGCACAAAAGTGGGGAAAAAAGCAAGAATTTACTCAGTGCAGGGCCAGTATGGACTGCCAGTTGCAGGCTCTTTCTCCTCTATACTAGGTGGTGCCCATCACTGGAATAGCTGTGAAAGTCTTGCTCTTCCTTGAGTTGCTTCAGTTTGGCTACTGAGGACAGGCCCTTGGCTTTTAATGATGGTGACAGATTGCAAGCTCTCAGTTATTGCAAGAGTGTGAGAGCACTTTAACAGCTGCCTGTTTCTATTAAATACTGCTAGCACTGGCACAGATCTGTACCCTTGGTACCTGTTATTCTGTGTGTTGTTGGGGCATTTACAGCCTGTGACAATACTTTTGAGGTGCTGCTGTTTGAAGTATTGTGTGTGCACTAAAAATAATCCTTCAAAGAATCTGAATTCAGGGGGTGATTTTTATGGACAGAATAGAACTGTTTACTGTATAAGTTAGTTTTGCTGTGCCCTGCCCTCCTCTGCATTTCATTTCCTCTTTCCTTCTATTCAGCTTCTCTCACCACCTTCTCCCCTGAAGCTCTGATCTGTGCAGCTAATTCCACTCCAATTTTGTGTCTGTTTCTCCTCTTTTCCAAACCATTTTCTCATGCTTTAATTGCTGAATTGCATTATGTTTGAATGTGTATAGTAGATTTTCACTAACAGACAATTTCTAATTATGCAGTGCCTGGAAAATTGATACAAGTTCTTTCCTATCAGGATGACAGTTTTAGGATGGCTTTAGAAAAAAGGTTTTGCTGCTTTCATTTTCAGTCAGCTCCACAACTGAAAATTTGCCAAATCTAGTTGTAAGGTTGGAGGAGTCAGAGGCAAAGGTAAAAACTGTAATTGTCTGAAGAAAGGTCAAATACAGTTTGTTTGGGTTTTTTACTGTAACAAGCAATGGAAATCCTGAAAGATGATTAATTAAGACCACATCTTCTGTGACTGTACACAAGCATTTTCTGAGCTGTAGGAAGTTCCCAAAGTTTTGAGCCTGTTCTGCCATCCATGAAGTGTATCATATGGCTTCTTAGAGGGACTCTCTTTATGTACGTGGGAAAGTAGGTCAAGTTTCCTTCTTCCTGCAACTGAAGATAATAGAGTGAAGATAATGTAAATGTTTGGTATGACTTCTTTTCTGAGGCTTGCTGTTCTGGCATAACTGATCTGTTTGCTTTTAACAAGTGGTAAAAGAAACTGTTAGAGGAAGCAAGATTGGAAGAAGCTTCCTGGGTCATAAGGTCTGGGTCTCTGGAAGTTAAAGCAACCGTATCACACAGACCCATTCATAAACTGATTGAGCTCCCTCCTAAAGCCACCTACATTTTGTTGCTACTGTGACTGTAATAGCAGGACTCTTCCAGATTATATTCTTCTGATGATTTGAAAGAAGATAATCAGATGATTTTTAACTCATAGCTAACTCCTGTCTTAGACTGCAGTATTCTCCAAACCCCTGGCTTGGAATCTTTACTGTCGTTGATGACCAGTGCCTTCTACAATGGCACAATACCATGCTGTTTCTATTAGGAGTAGAAATTAAATTGAATTCCATAGGTCAGTTATCAAATAGTTTAATCTAGAATGGAATTGTAGCATCTTTATCCAAATTGGTTAGTCAGTTATATGCCACAGGTGAAGCGGTGTTCAGTTCTGGCTTTTTTTGGTTGGTTTGTTGGGTTTTTTCCCCCTTCAAAGTCTGTTTTGGAATTGTACATAAAAGCTTATTATATTGTTGAGAAATAGCAACCATCACATTTGGTGATTTTTTTTTTTTTAAATTTTTTTTTTTTCACTTTAGGTGAGCACTCCTAGAGTGCTAAGTCTACCCAGGAAAATGGGTTTAATATAACTTAATTTTATCAGGTGGTTCATAGCATAGTAGTTTAGCCCTCATCAAAGCTCAGGGATTTTATTTCTTGTTCTTTTCAGTTGTATTCACTCAACTCTTATTTGTATTTTATTGCAGTTGTCTACCTTGTGGTTTTTCATCTGTCATTTGTCATGTTTGTATGGTCCTATTGGAAGACAATTTTCACATATCCTGCATCCCCCTCTAATGAGGTAAATATAACATTAGAGAAATGTCAATGCCTTTTTTATAAATAACTGAACTGTTTTCAGTGATGAAACTTGTTAGCAGTACTGCATGATTCACCTTTCCCTTCTCATTATCTAAAATAGAACAGCATGACTGTGTATCATGAATGAAAATTATCAAGTTACTCTTAAAATACTGTGTACTTTGTGTGATGGCATTTCCTTACACAAAATATGCCTTTAATTCATAGTGCTCTGCTATGCTTGAAACCTGGAATTTTTAAAACTGATAACTATGGTGACACCATTTTTATATTACCATTTTAGGCAGTTTTGACCTTTGTTTGGGTAAGAAAAAATAGTAATACAATGTATATTCATAATCTGAAGGACAGCCGCTTAATAGTAAGTCAAGGGTTAAGGTTTAGGGACAATTGAGAAGTGAATACATAAAGGACCTTTATATAATGGCAAAAGAATGTATGATGACTATAAAAAGTTTTATTTTTAAAAAGAACAGTATTAATTGCAATAAGCGTGAGATGGATGACCTTGTTTTCTGTTTTCTCTAAGGTGTGTGTATATGTAAAGATAAATACAGGCACCATATTTAAAATACTTCCCTTCCCTTCCTTGGTTTTATAAAGCTTTTAAATTGGCTAAACTGTTTGAGGCTTTGGTTGCTCTATGGGGGTTGAATTTTTATTCTATTTTTGGCAAGACTGACTTTCAGTGCTAATGTCAACCTTAAACATTTTTGAAAGGAGTTAAAAATGGGCTTCTAAGGAAAAGCAAACACTGCTCTGAAGTGCTTAATTATGGCTTAGAGATCTGTATCTTAAAGCTACAGAATATAAAATGAAAAAAGCTAGAGACTATTCTGCTGTTTAGCTAAGGAAAAAGAGTAGTACTAAATTGTTAAACCTAAAAAATCAAACAGACTGTTCTTCAGGGTGGTTTGTTTTGACTTTATCTGGGATGGTTCTGCAGGAAAATGATAAAGTTGAGCAGGTTAGCTTATTAAAATGTGGTTGGAACTGTGTGAATCCAGGTTCTGTAAAGCTGTATGAACTAGAGCTGCTCATAAAGCTAATGTCTAGTAACTTTTGCTGTCTGCTTGGATTCTTCAATAATAGGAAACTTCTTATGACAGTACTTACCCTTTAGTTACAGTAATGATGTAGCAAGCTTTTCATATTCAGTAAGTAAAAGGGATGATTTGGACATATGGCATGTAATGAATATTTCCTATATCAAGTGTGGGGGTAGATCAGATTTAATACAATTTAAAAAAAAAAAAAAAAAACAAACAAACAAACAAACAAACAAAAAAAACCCAAACCCCCACAAAAACAAACAACAAAAACACACACCCAAACCCCCACAAAACCCAGCCAAACAAAAAAAAAACCCAAAAACACCACCACTTCTTCTTTCTGGGCAAGTCCCTTCTGTTGATGTACCAGCGAGTAATTTATGCTGGATATACATAAAAACAAGTCTGACTTCAAAATCTCCCCATTGTACGAGAGTGTAAACGTATATATTTTTAGTCATTCAAATTAGCCATTCTTGCAAAACAAATAGTATCCTGTGATCTTACTGTTGAACTAAAAAAAGATTCTGCAGCTGCTGTTGTCTTAGTGTAATCCCTGTACATTTGTCATAAGAAAGAACAATCAACATTATACAAGATCCAGAAAGAGGAAGGAAACAAAGGGCTCTTTCTGTTTTCAATAAGAACTGCTGGAACCTCATTGGAAATTGTTAGCTATGTGGTAACAGATAACTTTTGATGTCTTTGAACATATCCTGCCATTGTCCAAAGAGGCTGTGGTCTCATGGCCCTATTATTTTCTGAAATTAGAACAGAAATATAGGTCTTCAGAAAACCAAAATCCTATCCAGGATTTTTGTTGTATTATTATGATGTTACTTGGACAAATTAAATCTTGTTATTTAGTTCATTTTCTGTGTATTTTTTGGTTTACCATAAAAATTTCATCTAGAAGTAGCATTTCATGTTTAGTGCAACCTCTGCTTGATTGCAGGTCATGGAGACAGGCATTGGGTCACCTATCAGACTCACAAAGGCAGTAGGGACGAAGGCATATTTCACCACTTTGCTGACATGATGCTTCATATCTGTCTTACACTTTTGATGTGAGCATCTCCACTTTTCATATTTGAGTAAATATCTATTTTAGAGATGAAGATTAAAAGATGAGGTCAAACTTGGTGATGACTGAAATGTTAAACTTTAATTTTGCCCTTTGTATAGATTAATCCTAGTTTCTGATCATTTAAAGTGGGATTATGTTTCACCCTTAAATGGTGGGTAGGCTCAATAACAGGGATGATACTATATGTAACAGGAGGCTTAACTAGGTTCAGTGAGATAGGAGGCAATTTGCTTGCATTGTGGAATAGGAAGTAACACAGAGAAACTGCAGCAATGTCTTACTGCTTCCTCCTTTCTGTAAGCGAAGTCTTCATTGTTGCTTGTCAATTGACTGTAATCCAAAAGAGGAAAAAGTACAGGATGAGAGGAAAACTCATGTGAACTAATCGTATACATGTTTTTGGTAGGAAAATACGGTCATATTAAACCACACTGAGCCAATTTTTGTTTCAGCTGCACAGCATTTTCCACTCACTACCATGAATACTTTGTCTATGTGTGCTCATAAAAAGGGCTCTTGTAGTCCATGCAGGAAGCTCAGAGTTTGCTTCAGAACAGAAAAATACCTAAGTCAACAGCGAGTTCAGCCCCCACTCCACAGGGGCTTGTCAGCACTCTGGGTTTTGTGGGGCTTAATGGTAAAGCTCAATTTCAGTGGATACCAAACTGTTTCACAAGTGAGTAAAAGCTCTCCAGGTTCTTCTGGTAAAGCTTTACATTTCAGTGAGGCTTGAACAGGAATGCTCCTCATGCTTTACTCAGAATTGTAACTCTCTCTCAAACTGTTCAGGCTTTGCTGAAGTTGGTTTCAATACAGCTCATGGATTTTGAGACTAGTGCTGACTACTCCCAAGTAAAAATTCTAATTAACCTCTTCCAAATTCTGTGCTGAAGCTATGAAGGCACACACACACACGCTTTTCACCCCACTCTGGTTTGTATCCCTCTTGAAGTCGGAGAGAGGAAAGGGGATAAGAGGACTTCAGTGCCCTGTAGCAACAAAGGACTGTTGCACCTTCCTCTTATTCACAGATCACTTAATTTATTCTTATGAGGAATTGAAGGAAAGGTTGTGCCTTCTTAAAACTCCCCTGAGTCTCTGCCTGCCTTTGTGTTGAAGAGAAAATGCTATAGATAGTGGAACAGAGATGAAGATTATTTTCTTTAAAATATGCACAAGGCTATCATGGAATTTTAAGGATATCGTGTAATTCCTCTAGCATTCTTTTTAATTTATATAGGGTTTTTTGGGTTGGTAGGTGGGGTTTGTCCGAAGACATAGGATTAAGATACATAGGGTCTTTTCCATGGAGCTTGACTAGAACACAAAGTAATAATTAAACTCCTCCCTTCCTTCCATTTTCTCCCTCCCTCCTAGTTCTGCTTGTCAAAAGCTGATAAAGAACAATATGAAAAAGAAGAGAGACCAGAATCCCAGCAAGAGATTTTGAGAAGAGCTGCTAAAGACTTGCCTATCTATACGACAACAGCATCCAGAGGTGAGATAAAGATAATTTTGTGCTCCTGAAGCTACTAGTTTAATTCAGCAAAATTCATTTGGTGTCACTGAATGAGTAATCTATTAAGCACATATTGCAAAGGCCATGACCTTGTTTCTTTATGTGATTGGGCTGTTGGTTTTTTTTCCCCCAAGAGAAACTGGAGTCCTTTGTCTGAGGATCTCAACATGTAGCCAGTATTTGGAAGTAAAAAACAAACAAACAAACCAACCCAAAAAACTCTTCTAGCAATAGATAGATAACATTTATATCTAACTGTGGCTAAGAAATACAGCGAATGCAGCTAGAAATAGAGAAAAATACACACTTCTTAGTCAATTTTATAATCATTTATATCCCCCTTATTTTTCTAAGCTGTATCAGTTCAGCAAGAGTAGAAACATCATACTTAAGGCTAGAATTTAAGAACGAATAAATGTTTCATTCCTATCTGTAATTCAGTACAAAGCTAGTTATGGCTATTTCTGTATTTGCCTTTAATATATATAGGCATTTTTATTCCAAGTTATATGAGAATGATCTGTGAAACTGCTGTCTTATACATATGTATATTTTTTTTAAAAAATGCAGCTTTTATATGTATATATATCAGTTTCTCTTTCTTGAAACTAGCAACTCTGTAGAGTTTTCAAAAAACATAAACTACTCAGAATAACTGTTACCAAAGTTTACTGTGGCTTTCCAAGCAAAGCCTAAGGACACCTGGATTTTTTGAATACAAGCCTCCCTTTAAGGGAATCCCAAAGTTAAGTTCCTGAAGTGGTCTGGGAAGCTCTTGCCAGCTCTTAGCAGTTCTGCTTAGCTGTAGGTGTTGGCCTTCCTCCTCCTTTCAAACTGCCTGTGCTGGTGTCTTATATCCATTGAGAAGAGCCTGAAGGCTTGTTTAAAAATATCCAGGAAAGATGAGGAAGAGCTGATTTACTGAACAGTCTGGTAGATGACTGTTTGCTGAAGAGGCTAGAGAAAGCTAATGCAGAAGGTTGGCTTGCTGAAAGAGTGTAGTTTCACAGTGGGATGCCTGAGTACCCTGTCCAGACTTGAAAGAAAGCAGGTGATAGGGGATCAGTGCCAGAGGGTGAAGGATGGGAAGACTGGGAGGCGAAAGAGTAAATGGAAATGGACTCAGTACAGTAGTAATAGATGAAAGTGTTTTAAATGCTTTCATATGTTACATTTCTTAAAAAGCTCAAAAGTACTTATATGAGAGTGAGTACATGTCTCTGAGAACAGGTATGTCAGGGGAGGACAGGAAGCTCTTTAAGATTCAGTTCATGTTAAGGGGGAAAACCTTTATAAAATTAAATGAGTTCTAATGACTTGACCCTTGCCACTTGAATGCAGCAATCAGATACTGTGATCGATGCCAGCTAATCAAACCTGACCGTTGCCACCACTGTTCTGCATGTGACATGTAAGTTAGTGAATCTCAAATGATGGATTTTCTCTCTCCCTTGATCATCACTTCAGTGTGTTCATGTCTTCAGTGTATCAGCCCTTTGCATGACAGCAGGTTTTACTATTTGCTCCTCCCTCAGACACTCAGTACTTGGATTTCATGAAAAAGTAAAGTTCCTCCTGTTGGTGCAATATTATTATTGCAGCCCCATTGTCCAAACTGGCAGAACTTTTTAGGAAACCTGCTTGTAGCTTTGTAAAACGGTATTTACATTTGAAAAAAAAAAAGAAAGAATAAAGCCTGTGACTCACAGTAAAAGCAGGCAGGTCTGAGATACCAGCACCACAGCACCAGAAAAATGCTTATTAGAGAACTCTTACTGTATCTTGCTTCTGCAGCCTTGAAACAGATATGTGCTACTAATAATACTAAAAACCTTTATCTCAAAGATTGACAGTGGAATCGCATGCCTTAACCATTTCAGGGACATCACTGCTATTCTCTAGCTTCATTATGAATCATCAGAGAAGCATGTAGAGGCACTGAAGACTTGAGGCTATGAGTAAGACTTCAGTAGGCTGAGCTTGAAGAAATCTAGTTAACTGAAGAGCTTAATACCAACGTTTTGGCTAAAATCACATTTGTTAGCAAATACAGTGAATGTCTATGTGTCTGAAATGTCTAGTACCTGTCCTTATACTAACACTGGATAAAAATGGCACGTGGACTATTCAGATTGCCCACTGTGCTGCTCTTTTACTCAATTAGCTTTTAAAAAAAAACCAAGCAAGCAGCAAACAAAAAAAAGGTAGCAAAAATATCCATAAGGTGGACTTAGTTGAAGTGAATGCCAGACTAACATACCTTATCCGTACCACTCTGAAGTGTCCTTTGGATTTGTTTTTTCTCATAGTGCATGTAAAACTAGTATGGCTTAATGAACTATTACATGGTGTTGCTCAGTAGTGCTCGTCATGTTAATTTAAGAGACTTTCTTCATAACTCTTTTGAATCTTACTTGGTCCTTTTGTGTGAAAGGATGGCTGCTATAATACAGAGAATTGACATGATTGAGAAGGATTTGAAAAACATACAGTGGGGCAAAATACTTTAAAAAAAAGCAGCAAAAAAAACCCCCAAAAAAACCAACCACACAAATCAACCCCCAAACCTGTAGAAGCTGAAAGTATGTATCTTAGAAAGAAAATTTATTTTTTGCCTCAACTTACTGGAAATTGTATCTTTCAGATGTGTACTAAAAATGGACCACCACTGTCCGTGGTAAGTTTATAAAAACAAAGACCAGTATAATAATGATTAATTAGATCCTACATAATGAATTAAATGCTGCTTCCTAGATGCAACCTGAAAGTAAACCTTGATTTTAAGAGAACTTCTTGAGGCTTTAATATGTGAAAATAAATCTTTTCCTAACGTGTGTTGCAACATAGGGTTGTAGGCCCAGTAGCCCAAATCATGAAGTTTCTCATTATATAGAGCAACCCTGCCATTAATGAGATCTATGAGAAATGGCATTTATTTATTTTGTTTATTTTGGTGTTGTTACCAGTAGAGAAGATACCACTACACTGTGAAAATCAGTTCTCAATTCTAGGTGATACATAAGACCACTCGGTTACTTTTCTGCAGTTTGTATTCACTGGTAGTCAGTGAAAACATTATCTTCTGTCCCTGTAAAAATACTGCTGTCAGTAGTTGACTTGAAGGGGGTTTTGTAACCAAAGCAACATCCACTGAAATTGATGGAGAGGCTCATATTATCTTCCATGATGACTGCAGTTAGTTCATAGTGTGTGAGATGCTTCCTATACAGACTGTATGTATCATACGCTTTGCCAGCTTTGTCCTGTCCTGTAGAACGTCGTGGGGGGCAAAATTTACATCGGGAACCCAGATCATTTGGCCTAAGGATAGAGACTTCATTCAAAATGGCGGTTTAAAATGCTTCTGATATGCTAGTGTCAGACTATTTTGGACACACCACTGACATCATATACGTTATGCTCTGCAAAAGCTGAATGTATTGGTTTTTTATTTTATTTTATTTTTTGTATATCATAGTAACCTCTTTCTCTTTCCCCTCTTTCTAGGGTGAATAATTGTGTGGGATTTTCTAACTACAAATTCTTCCTCCTGTTTTTAATGTATTCCTTACTGTACTGTCTGTTTGTTGCTGCTACAGTCTTGCAGTACTTCATAAAGTTTTGGACAGTAAGTTCTAAGGCTTTTTTTTGTTTGTTCATATGTTTAACCCTGCATGTGTTATTGAAGGCTGCATCAGCATGTTGTCATTCACCATTTACTCTGTTCCATAGTTCATTACCATTAACAGCATCAATTGAAGTGACTGAAGCAGGAAAACCTTCCGAATATTAATGAACTAAATGTATTACACTGCCCAGGATGAGTAATTGGGGGAAGAAGTTCTGATGAGGACACTGCAATTTCTCTGCTCCATCAAAATCGAGTGGCCACAGCTTAGTTTTTTTGAGACTATTGGATATAGATATGTAGATATAGAAAGAACTAGCTATATCAAACAATTGCATATATATGAGTGTGTGTGTGTGTATGTATATATATATATATATATCTATATATATATATATATACACACACACACATGCGTATATAAAAAAACTGACAAATGTGAAATATAAATAAAAATTTTGTACATCCTAGACTTGTCTGTGGATAATCTGCTACCAGATAAAGCAGATTAATTTATTAGGAGCTGACCAAGCTCTGGTTTTGAGTTCACATATAGGTGTGTCTGAAATTCATACTAGTGGCTTTTATCGATCTGATGTGGGTAGAATGCTAAGATATGTACAGTGCTAATGATACACATCTTCCTTGCAACTATTATGAGTTGTCAAATAATTGATACACATACGTGCATTTTAGATTTAATAACATTTGTGTGAAGGGCAAGCATACTTGTATGTCGGTGTTATATTCCTCCTATCATTTTGTTCCAGTCACATTCCAGGCTGAACAGAGCGTCTTCTGGTGGTGTTCCTTTTCATCTCAAAAACCTTGTACTGTGCCTCCCTGTCTCTAGGCAGAAGAGTTAGTGTCAGAATTCCCTTAATCAGTTTCTATTAACTAGCATGGGAAAAATCACTCTTAAGTGGAAGACTCTCCATCACATCTTTATAAGTAAATAACAGCACATCTTTTTTAGATGCTAGTTGATGTCAGAGTAACTGGGGAAAGCGGTCATTTTCTGTAGCTGTAGAAATAATCTTTATCAGAACAAAAATATGATGTCCTGTCACGGTAAGAGAAGCTTGATCATGTATTCAGAATAGCTGTTGGCATTAGACAAGTAAGATAAATGGTGTAAAAAGTATGTTTGTTTGTGTTGCTCTAAGCCTATGGCTCTGATCTGCCAAAGTACTATGTTTCTCTTAATCAGTTCTGTGTATCAGCTTGTCACTGGAGAGCAAGGAACTATTTGTGCTGTCAGTATTGTGTGAGATGAAAGCCATAAATGAATTTTATCAGTCATAGCTGTGGCTTGACAAATACTTCAGATTAAATGGTCTGTTTCTGCTGTTCAGTCTTGCTTGACTCTAAATAGTTAAATTTTTAATTTGTGAATATGCTGCTCCCAGACATCTCCCTGGCTGCTTTCCAGTGCTTTGTATGCAATTTCTAATGAAACTGTAGATATGCTCTTACATATTTTCCAGTCAGCACTTGAGGAAAAAAAACAAAACCAAAAAACCAAACTGAAACAAACAAACAAACAAAACCCAAACACCCAACAAATTGCTTTGTCACCTCACTTCATAAGTGTTAGTGCAACAAAAGTCTGCAGGACATCTGACCGCAATGAGCGTTAATACCAGCATTTGCAGCAAGGCTCTTCGAAAGCCCATCGGACACAATATTGATGTGGACCCTTGAGCAGAGGAAGTAAACTTAAGAGGGATTTTATTTCTTTTTAAAATTTACTTGTTAAAAATGCATCCAAATGTGTCCTGCAAGAAGGGGCTACTTCTGAAATGTGACAATAGACAATGTAGTTGTGTGCTTGCACTTGTTGCTTTCACTTCTGATTACTTCCAAGACAAAATCTGGTGATGCCATGATCTTATCATTAGAGTAGGTCTCTGACTCACTTTACTCATATTAATTGCTTGTACTCATTCCACAAAGCTAATACTCCTCTGATTTTATAATAGCCTAATTAAAGTAAACTTCCAGAAAGAGGTGGCAGCACCATACTTCATTTAGGTTTGCAAAATTTTGTATGTCTCTAGTATATAAGCTTTTAGGCAAGTGCTCTTGACTGCAGAATAGAGTCCTGGAAGCTTCTCTCTACATCTGTATCCAGATGAGAGTGAAGTACTGCTGACACGTGCTGTCTGTAGACTGCTTCAGTATACTGCTAATGCTCAGCTTTGTCTGCTACAGCATCAGACAGAATACTGTTCTGACATTTTCTGTTGTGACTCTTTAGATGATTTTTCCCCTCAAAGCCTGACTATCAGAAATGTTACAGTATACCTTTAGAAGGTAGTTTCTTTTTGCTTCCTCATTAATATTTTTTAGAGAAAATGTGCAACAAACTGCTGTATATATCCAATGTTGGGATAAAAGATGAACTGCTTCTTGGGGAGTGTAGCCTTGGTCACTTCAAAACTTCTAGTAATGAGATTGTAAAGGTGTATGTGCTAACTACACAGATTTTAGCAATCCATTGATGCATAGAAACATAATACACACATGCAGATACTTGCAAACATTGTGAAACATGCACACCTACCTAACTCTTCTGTTGAAGAAACTTTGTGTTGCCCACTTGCACATGCAAAACATTTACATAGTATCTTTCATGTTCTATGCGGGAGTGCTGAAGAACGATCTTCATGCAGTGGTGGAACAACCACACTGGCAGTAAATGTTTACCACAGGCTTACACACTGATGTGGATGTTAAAATGTGTTTTGTAGATCAAGGGAACATGACTGACTCCTTTTTTTTTTTTTTTATACTCATAACTACTTTTCTTATGAAACTTTTATTTCTACCTAGGAAGTTGTCAAAGATGAGCTGGTAAAACCTCAGTTTAACAAATGTATTTGACACAACACCAGCACTGGCTGAACACCCAGCCCTTGATGCCTTGTTTACATAGTGCATGGTGGTACTTCCTAGTGTATATTTGGATCTACTTTCATCCTTGCTGCACTCCTTCCCCCTTGAAACCCATATGTTTTCCAGCTGTTTTCAGTATCTTTCATTGTCCTCCAAATTATTCTGGCAATCCTGAGTATAGCTAATTCAAGGACGTGACATATGTGTTCTGGGTAGATGGCACATGCTTCTGCAAAACTTTGGTTGTATTAACAAAACAAAAGCAGAAAAAAAAGAAGATAATTATTCCAGATCCTTAGTTAGAAATCATTCCTCTTGCATATATACATAAGGACATATACCAGATCTGAGGTTTTTTCTACACTTAGGCTAGACCTAGCTACTAAAAGATGAGTAACAAGTGAAGCATGTTGTGGGTTTTGTTTGGGGTTTCTTGTGATTTGATATATGCTCAAATGACTCGGTGCTTATTGAAGGAGTTGGCAGGGGACTATTTAGAATAGTGACTGGCTTCAGTCTATTACATGTACTAAGTAGCCCACATTTTATGGTGCAAATTGCTTCATTTTCTAAGCTCTGCAGCTCTCTCACCTGCAAGTCTGCTTCTATGCTGCTGCTAAGCATAATGATTTTAAGTAACAAATGTCTGAAGTTTCACTTTCTTTTCACATGTGGCATGTGAACTGCTGCTAGAACACAACTGTGAATAAGCCTGTTCTATACACTCAAAGCCTGCATGCTTCTCTCCAGGAGGGAGTTGGCCCTTTTTGAAAGATGCTTCAGTTCTGCAACTGTCATTCAAGAATTTACAAACAATGGCTGAAAGTGGTAGTCAGAAGAAGTAAATGCTCCCTGGGGATCATGCAGATTAATTGTGCATAATTCAAAAAATCCTTCTCCGAGATATAGAGCTACTGTTTTAGGAAGATGCAACTGAAACAAGCTTTTATTTTCTGGACCACAGAAAACACAAAGACTAAGCTACAACTGCTCTTTGAGCTTCAAAATCAACTGTTCTGAGAATTCTTTAGAGAGCATGTTTATGTTTAAATATGCAATTCCAAAAGAGTCATAGAAATAGAAGTTGCAAAAATTAATTAGGAAACTGGAGAACACTGCAGTATGCTCCAAGGTAGAAAAAGTCATCATAGCTTTAACATGAAGTTTAGGAATAAGCAGCAATTTGAGTGTGTATTTTGTTAGCCTTGCTTTCAAGGGATCACAAAACACAATGTATCCCTACAGCAGGGGGAAGAGGGGCTGTTGCACAAATTGTCTAAGCAAAACTGCATCAAAAAAAAAGGCAGTAAAGGGGGAAACAGATGACAGTTCTGAGAGCTGGACTCTGCTATCACTTGCTTACTGTAACATGACCTGATGGTAGCCAGCCTTTTTGAAAATGCTGTGTATATCTGCCTGACTCCAAAGTAAATGCTTGGGCTCTCCCTAGGCTTTCTGCTCAGATTAACGTAATTTAAGAGCCATATATCTTGCCTACAACAGATTCGTTATGTGCTAGCACCTTAACTAAGATACCTTATAGTACTCTTTGGGTATAAAGTTCAGAATTTAAAAGCTAATTTAAACCAAGCTTTTCCGTTTCTTGATTTATTTTCTTAAGTACTGGTTCAATTGCAGATGTTATGCTAAAGATACAATCCTACAAACATATCTTAGTATTGAAGGATATTGGGAAGAAATCTATACTGATATGTTATGGGGGGTTTTTTAAACAAAAGATATTGTGTAAAGAATGGCAATTTTTTATGGTTTGGACTGAAACCATAAAAACCATATTGGTAGTAGATATGTTCTGAAGTCAGAAAGATTTTGTAATTTATAAACCATTGCTTTATACCTCTGGAGTATTCTGAGCTTTTCAGACCTTTATGAATGGTTTCATCATGCAAAATAATCATGTAAACCTTACTTGTGATGGAAACAACTAGCAAAGAATGCACCTGGTGTAGTCATGCTGTTCAGGCTAAGGAACCACTTGAAAGTGGTCCAGCTGCAATCTGAGTAGCACTACTGTGCTTCAGTAGAAAATTTCATGCCTTGGAAGTTAGTAGTGTGCTTTTATGTACTCCCTCCTCCATTCTCTTGGAGAACAGGGGCTAAGGCTGCTGATGGGCATTGGAACTTGGCATGTCCGAGAACACGTGTGCACACCAACCATTTTGTTCTTAACAAAGCCTGTGCTGTTTTCAAACACTTCATCTTAACATAATACTAGTGTTTAATAAATTGTCTTTATTTGCGCAAAGCTTTGCCGCAGGAAAGCTGCAGAGAATTGTCCAAAGGTAAAATCTAATATTGCTGTAATTATTTAAATACTGTTCCTAGTATAATTTTTCTAATCCAGTCACTTGTGGTAGCTATTTACACCATCACAGAAGGAAGGAGACTTGTAATCTGTTGCCTATAAATATAGGCAGTGAACAGGGGTATAGATATATCAATGTGTACTTGATCTTAATTGAAATGTGCTTTAGTCTAAAAAAGAATCAGCCTTAGATAAGTGGATATACTGAATGAGCTAATGGAAAAAGTAATGGCAATAATGCTAACTAAACAGCTGAATAAAAATAGCCTCTCTGCTTTTATAGTGCTGTTAAAGGTCAACTACTTAAAAGTACTGTGATTTTGAGGATATAGAACTAGAATAGTATTGTTACAAATCCCATTGACCTCTTGAAAGTGCAAGCCTAAAAATAGCTGGGGTTGGGGGTGGAATCAACTATCTGATATGGGTGGGAGGTTATTTTTTTATATGGTGGTTGTACTGAAATTGTTCTTTTTCATGTAGATCTTCTGGTGAATCACTTCTACATGGCCAGACTCAGCAAATTTGTTTTGCTGGGTACATGCTGGTTGTTGCCTATATCTTAGAGATCATCAAAAACTGAAGATCTGTCCCAGGTCTTGTCTAGGAGTTGTTCAGTCTTGGAAACACAGTATGACAGCCATTTCCCTTTCACATTCCTTACATCGGTTCAAAAGTGGGTTCACTATTATTACTTTGCCAGGAAAGGGTTTGGACATTTTTGTTGTATTTTCTTCCCTTCAAAGAAAGTGATTTTGGACATGTTTTCTCTGTGTGTCTGCCTGTGGCTGCACAGTTAACATTTTTAGTATAGGAATTTTTTTTTTCCCTGCCCCCTACTGTGCATTTAAAAACTAACAGATGAACATATGCATTCATGCTACTAAACTTAGGTGGAAAGGGTACCCATCAGCTTTAAATGCTGTTGTATACCAGTTTAACATGACATGAAAGGAAATCTGGGCTTGTGCTTTTTTTTCCTTTGTGAAAAGTGAGGTGAAAGACCTATAGCAGAATGGGTGTGGCAGAAAAATATTTAGCGACAATACTACATTAGTTGGTAAAAAATGTTAATGTATTAATCTCTTTCTCTCTTTCTCCCCAGAATGAATTGCCAGATACTCATGCAAAATTCCACGTACTATTCCTTTTCTTTGTGGCAGCCATGTTCTTCATCAGCATACTGTCACTCTTCAGCTACCACTGCTGGCTAGTTGGCAAAAACAGATCAACCATAGGTCAGTCAACTGGAATATGGAACTGTTCCTTGTCCAGAAAACCAACAAGTCAATGAGAATGTAAGGCCTACAGGATATGCTGACACATATAAATTGGATTTTTAAATATTGTCCAATAATAAGCATATTTGGTGACAGTAGTTAAAGATTAAACATATGGCAAAATGAAGCATATGTAGAGGTCCTCTGCTGGAGCCAAACATTCAGATTCATGATGAATGTCAATTTCTTTTGTTTGTATTTTTGAGATCTATGAGGCACTGTGTGATTTTTGTTGTGTTTTTATATAGTGTTAAGTATGTAACACAATTACTACTTGCAGTTACCCTGTTGTTCCAATACTTTGAGTAGCTGGGTGGCCCCAGCCAAGGTAAAGGCTCTACTATATATGTGAACATACTACATTTTGAAGTAGATCCAAAAGAGTATTCTTAAATCCTATCAAATAAAATGGACCTTACTATTAGGAAGTGGCTTGTAAAGGCAATGCGATAAAAATGGAAACACTGATGCACATTCCCTAAATAATAAAAGAGATTTCTATGCCTAAATGCTTTAAATGGCATTAACCAGCATAAGCAAGTTACATGCATTAGTTAAAATATCTGAAGTTCTTGTTAAGGCATTTTTGAAAGTGTTTTTTGCAGGGTAGGGCAGGGGACAGAGACTGGTGGGTATTTCCACAACTGACTAAGTCAAAATCTTATACCTTTCAATGTAACTACATTTCTATCCTCAAAAATAAGTGGGTTGATTTAAAAGTGAAGTAATTTTCAGCTTTCTAGAATTTTTTGATGGGAGGAAAAGGAATTTTTTTGATTGCTTGACAGGAGGGTTGTTTGACTCCTCTTTCTTTTGACATATCTGCAGCTAAGGAATATTTGCAGTCTCTTTTTTTAGCTTTAAAGAAAACTTTAGCATTATTTCTTTCCCAAAAGTCAGTCATAATTGGCAACACAGCCAGTACTTTATTTACTTTCTAGATCATGATTGTAAAAAGACATGCTGTTGGTGTGGGGAGAGCAGTGAGTCCTCTTGGTTCTTGGCCAAGGGTGTAACTGGACTGACTAAAAAAATGATAGTGGTTTGCTACAGTTGTGGTGTGTCTGTGTTTCTAATGTAATAAATCTCATCTTCAATACCACAGGATGCTCTTAATTCAACTTCAGACCTTGACAGAAGTGGAAAAAAAAATCCTGTATGGGTTTAGGTCCAGTAGTTCTTACAGTGAATTGTTTCTAGAAGAGGAAGTCTGCTCAAAGAAGGCTTCACAAGCCATAGAGAGCACTAACCATCAGTGAATAAGGGATGTGATATCTTTGGCATGCTGATGGTACTTAGCTGTTTCAGACCTTGTATTAAATGTAAAGAGAGCAAGATGACTGTTCTCCTTATGCGACTTTCTTACCTTTCATTTCTAATTTTGTCATTAACCCTATAATTTTTATTTTTTTTAATGCCGCCTGATTACTTGAGATTGCTTTTGGTTTTCCCCACACATCCGGATTGTCTCAGCTTACCTGACACTGTTTTCACCATAGAGAAGTTTGAGTCTATTTATTCATCTTCCTTGACTCCTTATCACTTTACAGATATTGCATGGTTTTCTTTTACAGAAACATTCCGCGCACCCACATTTCGAAATGGCCCTGATAAAAATGGCTTTTCTCTTGGATGCAGCAAAAATCTGAGGGAGGTTTTTGGAGATGAAAAGAAGTATTGGCTACTCCCTATCTTTACCAGGTATTCAGTCTGAATGGGAATGAACTGGGGAATAAATTGATTTCATGACTCTCGCCTTGCTTCCCCTTCTCCTAAAAAAATAAGGCACATCTGAAAAGCCAGTTTCTAAATCCTACAGAATTAATATTAGTGTAAGGAAAATGTGCAGGAGAAAACTGAGAAAAATGCACAGAGTTTTCATTCAAAGACAAGGGCCTTCTAAATATGGAAGTTTGGAAAGCTTTGAGAAGTGTATTTCAAAAATTGTACACCTTTTGGTGGTACTATTAGTGTCTGATCATAGAGCAGAAATTAGCAACTCAGAGGACATCCAAATGCTTGAACTTCAGCTGCACTGAAATAACATCAGTTTATAAACATCCCCTCTTACCCCTGAAAACACTTGACAGCTTTCCTTTTGCTGTAGATGACATTTTTGGTATTGAAAGGCGCCTAAGAAAGTGCATGTAAATAAGAAGCAGTGCAAAAAAAAATTCTGATGCAGTGCAAAATACTGGTTTTAAAGCCTCAGCTGAGCCAATGTTAGAGAGTTGCAGACAAGCATCAGAGAAGCTTGATGAAGCAAAACTGACCTGCTGCACATTCCCACCACTCCTGAAAGTCAGTAGAACAAAGTAGGAGCTGTGTTTCAGTACTGCTTTTGGGGGGTTGTGTATCAATTTAAAATGTTGGTGAACCCATTTCTGAAGCTGAGGTCTGGTAGCGAACAGTAGAGGTAATGAGATCTTAAGTTGCCTCAACTGTTTTCTCAACTACCATGACTTTTCACGTGATTAAAGACAGAAGCTATATTGGAGATGGATCAGTCTGGTTTGCCACCACATTTCATCCTGAATAAACTTGCTTTTGCAGGAGGCTTAGCTCACCTCAAAATGATGGACAGAGAGGAAAGCATGATCACCAGAATATTATGCTACAGGTTCTCAGGTTGTAAATATAAGATAGTCTGAATACATGTGCATGGTGGTTTGAGGGAAGAGTAGGACTACAGTCTACAGAAACACAGCGATGTTTCTGAAATACACAGACTCATGCTGTGCTCAGGAATCCATACTGAGTGATACGGTGGAAATCATTTGAGCTCCAAGATGTAATTAACTGATCATCTGGTTTAGTGGTGGCACTGCCTTGCTCAACTCTGAAATTCCACACTGCATTCAAGTGATTGATTCGAGCCTGTAGTGTTTGCCTTTTGCATGGGTACTTGTTCAGTTGATTTAAGTCAACTACAAACAGTGATTTGAATCTTTGTTTCTGGTTTAGTTTGGGTGATGGTTGTAATTTTCCAACTCGTTTGGTTATTATGGATCCAGAGCAACTTACTGTCTCAAGCCAAAATGAACCTGCCAAAAGGTAACTGTAGCATTTAAGATTCTCATTTTGTACTGTTCTGTACTTCATCTGGAGATAAAATTGTTTCAAAGCTATTTTTAATTTTTTTTATACTTATTGTCATATTCAGAGTGAGTTTAAGTCTTCAGAGAAGGATCAAGACAAAAATTATGCTGCTTAATGCAGAAAGGCTGTTTCTTGATTTTTACCTATAGCAAGAGGATATGGCTTTAAGGAAACAGTAATACAGAAAGTAAGAGAGCTTACTGGCTCTTAATAATCAAAAAAGTCCTAGGGAAGACTGAATAATGGTCCATGGGGGGGG